TGGGTTGGGATGGGCGGGACATCAGGTTGGCCCGACCCATCTGCTCACCTGGCTTTTCTTTCTTCCCGGCTTCCGCATTGTCCACCACGGCCAAGAGGAAAATGAAGGCCAGCAAGGCAGCTGCCAATTTTCGGCGGTGCTGCTGGTACTGTTGGGACTGCATTCTAGGGACACACAAGAGAGAGGAAGAAAGTGGTGTCAATCCACATCAGAGAGGAAGGCTTATTGAACACCTTCCTGAAGGGCTCTGGGCCTCCCACTTGTGGAATTCCATCTCCGGGACACTCACAGCATCCTTCTGGAGCAGAATTCTATTCCTCCCCTCCAAGAATCACTGCAGTAAGGGCTCTCTTGCCATCCCTCATGCGATCCCTGACAAACAGCAGCAGTTCTCCATGCAGCCCTTCGCAAGTATGACTTAGGCAGGGTGGCAGAGAGAGAACGGGAGAGATGTAGGCTGAGCAGACAGAGCAGCTTGGCATGTCCATTGCTAGAGCCAAGACAAAACTCCTGATGATTCCCACAACTGACCATGCTGCTGAAGCCCACAGGGATAATGAAAATGAATACAGTAGATGGAGCATCCACCCAAGTGTGTGCTTAGTGTTTATCTTAAATGCATTGCTAATGACCAACATCTCTAATGCCTTTATGATTCCCCATGATCATGATTGCTGCTATCTTATCATCATCATCATCATCCATGGGTCAACTGGTGGTTGAAGCAGAAAAGTACAGAGACAGCGTACTTGTGATAACTACTAAACACACTTGTAAGCTCATCTCTGCTGAAAAGTCTCAATTCTCTGATACCACTGTCATCATTTGAAATTATCCACCAAGTCAAACCAAACCAACCGCCATCGAGTCCATTTGACTCACAGCACCCAGACAGGAGAGCAGAGCTGCTCCGTGGGGGTCCGAGGCTGAGGGAGCAGATGGTCTGTCTTTCTCCCTAGATGGACTGGTGGGTCCAAACTGTGAACCTGGCGGTCAGCAGCCAATGCTCAACCTACTGGGCCACTGGGGCTCCTTGCAAATGCTCCACAGTGGGTAGGCATTGTAATTCAAAAACACCATGGGAAGGGCTAGTCTGCGATTTGAAACATTTGTTACCATTAAGGGGCAATGTGGCCACCTTGCCAAAACATGCTTGAAGAGGCCTCAGTCCAAGCCCAGGACACGCCCACTTCCCAGTGGCTACGCCATGTTGCAGGCACTCGCCTGACAGTGGATGACTCTGACATGTTCCTGGTATTTTATATTTCATATAAAATGAAGGTCATGGCCTTCGGCTATCACCTTTGAGTGTCCTCTGCCCCCCAGAAGTGCTAATAGATGGATTTAGATGTTTCCATACACTCGGGAGTATGAGCAATAAAAGCTTCTGAAAGGCAGTTACTGGGGTTGGGCTTGTTCTCTTCTACAGCTTGCTTTTCTTGCTAAGAGATGGCAAGAAAGTGATGGACTGTATTTGAACATGTCCATTTCTGTGACATGGGAAATGCTGGCCCCCACCATTGTCATGTTTTTCAAATTGAGGACTTGAAGTTTGAATTGGACTCTACCTCTCCCCATGACCTACGAAGGCCTTGAGTATTTTGCTTGGTGTGCATGAGAGTTGCAAGAGACGTCAGCAGTCACCCCACATAAGCCTGGGGAGGACACTGTGAGCCAAGGAGAGATGGCTCCTATGGGTCTGAGCTGATTCTCTGAAGCCTCGGAACACAAACAGCACGAAGAGCGCACAGCAACCCGGGGGGACCCACTGGGAAAATGGGGCCACTTAACAGAAATGGGGGGAAATGCTACTCTCCACAAATAACAGGATCAACACACACAATACACATTTAATAAAAGGAAAATTATTTAAATCACTGTCTTAAGTTATTCCTAAGCATTTCTAGATTTGCATGACTGAGGTCTTGCCTTTATTATGATATTCAAAAGCCTTCTCCTGAATCAGACTAAATTCATTTAATTTCTAGGAAAGAAAAGACCCATGCAGGTCAGAATTGCCTGCCCATCTATATGTTTACATCTCAGCCAGACTAGCGTCGCTAAAGTGAGAGTAGATGAAGAGGAGATAGGATCGGGGGTGAGAGTTGGAGCGTGGTTGTTGTGAGGTGCCCTCGAGTCGTGACTTATCATGACCCCCATGGACCACCGAAGGAAACGCTACCCTGCCCTGCGCCAGGCATCCTATCATTGTTGCTTGATTGGGCCCATTGTTGCAGCCACTGTCAATCCGTCTCATCACAGATCTTTTCTTTTGTCACTGATTCTCGATTTTACCGAGCATGCTCTCTTTTCCTGGTCTCTCCTAATAACCAGTCCACAGAACAGATAGCTGAGAC